TTGTAATAATACAGGTAATAATACCTGACTTACAAACATTGACATTCTATATTAGACAAAATGTATTCAATAAATGAACATCAATATACCATAAAGTGAAGAGAAGGAAGTCACTTCATTTTTTTCTAGACATCACCCATTTTCAACAAAATTAGAATTTGTTAAAGGTCATTTTACTCTCATGATGAGCCTGTATGATCCTGGGGACTTTCAAAATGGGAAACCTCTAGTTTTTCTATGAAAACTGTTCTACTTTTATTTTAGAGTTTATTTTGTTTATGTATATATTTACCAGAACACCATCCATTCATTCTAGGTTTCAATGCAATAGTTTTCTCTTATTTTCATAATTTCCACAGAATTTTAAATCCTATGTTCTTCTATTTCTTCAATCAACAACATTCTAATGGCATACTTCTTAGTTTATCTTGTTCTCAATGTAGGTAATTATCATGTTTGACAATTTATTATGACCCAGTAACAATCTTAAATAGCTTAAAATTAATCTCTGCTTAATAATACCCCTTCAGTGGGATCTCAATTCCAATGATATTGGTTTTTTTTTTAAAAAAAAAGTTTATTACAAGGCACAATTCAATACTTTTTCAAATTTAGACAAGATTGTACTAAGCAAAACTTGAGAACCAGATTGAGAAGATAGAAGTAGAGTGATAATAGCTTTTAGTGCCTACTATTGATGTATAAATCCATTTAAGATTAATTTTTTTGAGAGGTTTTTGCTATGGGGAGTGTGCACTAACCAGAAAGAGAGAGAGACAGAAAGTGAGAAATCATCCCCCCAGTGGGAATGGCCACACTGCAATCACTTCTCCCTCCATTCTCCTCTCAGGATTTTGGGCACACATGCATACATGCCTGGCATGAGTTTAAGCCACTGAGTCTGAGACTCAAACCATGGTCGACTACATGGGAGTCCAGCAACATAGCCATTACACCAACTGGTAGTCTCAAGATGAAGTTTTTATATGATGTAAATCAATAGAATATATAAAAGCCAAGTTCAAGAATGCTTTTTGTAAATTAGGTATTTTTTTCTAAAATGACATTTTCTCCTGTTAAGAAGACAAAATTTGGAGACCAGCAGATAGCATAATGGCTATGGTGCTGGACTCCCATGCAGTCGACAATGCCTTGAATCCTTTACCTGGTGGCTTAAACTCCCAATGGGTGCATGTGTGTGTGTGTGTGTGTGTGTGTGTGTGTCCAAGATCCTGAGAGGAGAATGGAGGAGTAGGGATTGCGGCATAGCCATCACCCCTGTGGAGTAATTTCTCACTTTGTCTCTTTCTCTCTACCTTTCTGGTGAGTGCACGTGCCTATAGCAAAAATCTGCCCCCCCCCCAAAAAAAAGGCAAAAATTGAAGATGCTTTACTCTCCATTTACGAGGTAATATGACCACAGTTTTAACCTCAGTTTTCATGTATCTACTGACCATAGTAATTGAAATTTTAATATAGTGATTCGTACCTTTCCAGTTTACTTTTTTCAAATTTGAAAAACATATTTATCTGTATTATTAAAGTTTTACATTAAACAAAAGGTTACTATTGTTCATTGTAAGCAAGAGAATGGGCCTTCTATTAAGTGTGCTGCATTCCGTGGTGTCAGGATTTTTCTTATAAAGAGTTTTATTACTTATATACATTCTGATCAAAATAAAAATTTAAAAGTCCTAAGATGCTTTTGATTTCAGCTTTGCTTATTTCTTATTTTCAGATTATGTATATATTATCCCTCAACAAGCCTTAAAGTTTTATTTTCTGAGAAGTACCCTTGTTGTATAGCTTTGGTTTTTTGTTTGTTTGTTTGTTTTATAATGTTGGCTATAGGGTGCACATACTTGCTAAGGAGAGACACAGGAGGAGGGAAAGTGAGAAGGCACCTATCAGGGGAAATGGCCACACCACAATCCATTCTCCTCTAGCCTCCTCCTGGAATTCTGAGCATTCATGCAAACATGTTTGGTTCATTTTAGAAGCCAACAGGTCCAGGATGTGAGCCATGTAGTTGGCCATGTGGAATACAGCCACGTTATTGACCACACCACCAAGTAGCTCTGTATTTTATCTTAATGTCCACTGGGTACCACTATGTGCTTACAAAATGCTTCCTAGAACAGAGATTAAAAAAATCCCATCTGTCTATTGAACACATTGGTTCCTGTGGTCAACAGAATAATGGTCCCTCAAAGGTGACCACATTTTATGCCCCAGTATCTGTGAACATGCCACCTTACATCGCAGATCTAAGAGGGTGATTCAAGTAAGAATGTTTTTTTTTTTCCTGGGAGGTTTTAGCTACAGGATGTGTGTGCTTGCCAGAAAGGCAGAGAGAGACAGAGATAGAAAGTGAGAAATCACCCTCCAGGGGGGATGGCCAAGCCACAATCCTTTCTACATTCTCCTCTAGAGATCTTGGGCATGCATGCACATGTGCCCAGCATGAGTTTAAGCCACTGGGTCTGGGACTTGCACCATGTTTGACTACATGGGGGTCTAGTGACATAGCCATTATGCCAACTGCAGGTCCATCAAGTAAGGACCTTGAGGTGGGGAGATTACCTTAGGTTATCCAGGCTGATTTAATAAGATCTCAACACATATAATTAGGAGAAACTTGAATTTTGTGGAGCCTGGGTTTTTGTCCTAACCTTCAACCAAATCAGTTCTTTTGCTTTACTAACTCTGCCACAGTCTGCCTTTTCAGTCTGGCACTGTATACATCTCTTCATCTGGTTCTTGTTTATATTCTTTCTAATGTTCTTTATAATCAACCGTAAAGAAAAGAGTATCCCTTTGTTCTGTAAGCCACTCCATCAAGTTAACTGACCCAACTGCAGGAGAAATATTTGGGAACCCCTGTTTATAGCTGATGGGTCAGGAATTAGGCAAAAAACACCTGGGACATACACCTGCTATCTGAACCCTGGATGGGCAGTCTTTAATTTTTGTTTTGTTTCTTTTAGTTTTTTGCCATAGTATGTACACTATGAGAAAGTGACAAAGACAGTGAGAGGAAAACTAAGAAATCAACCCCCAGGAGTTATGACTACGCTGCAATCTCCTTCTCCTCCATGTCTCCTTGGCTACATGCACACACACACACACACACACACACACACACCCCCTCGACATAGTTTAAAGCCATTAGGTCCACGACTTGAACCACAGTCAGCCTTGTGGGAGTCCAGCTCCTTAAGCACTATGCCTCCTGCTGGGCTCAACAATCTTTCATTTTCTTTTAAACTTGCCAATGGGGTATGTGCTCACTAGAGAGAAAGGGTCAGAAGGAAGGGAGAAAGCAACCTCCAATGAGCCTTGGTCATAGCACAATTTCTTTTCCTCTGTTTCTCTAATGTTCGGAGACTTGGGGAATATATATTTAAGTCATCTGATGGAATTTAAACTGCATAGTCAGCCAAATTGCTGGTATCCTTAACAGTCAGGCAATGAAGTCAGAATATTGGGGATGGAAGTTGATCCCGCAACCTGTAGGATCCAACACAATCTCCAAGTAGATACTGTCAGAACTGAAGAGTCAGAGGACAATGAGTTGGTATTGGTGCACAACTAACTGCTTACTTGTAGGAAAAGCCTCACACACTTGATCACAGAAGGTTCTTTAGGGATTGCTGAGAGGACAAAATAAACTTAATTGGTTTTATCCTTGGCATTATTACATTGCTGCAGGTAGGGTGGGAAACTGCTAGCAAATGGCAGGAAAATCCTTTGCATGATGAAAATGTACCACATCTACACAGGTGCCTGGGTTTCGGAAACACACATGTCTGCCAAAATTCACTGAACAGAATGTACAACTACTATCTGTTCATTTCGCTGTATTAAATTATACCTTGATTATAAAGAAAAATAAATAGATAGGTTCATGGTGACCTGACCCAGCCTCTGTGGCCCACTAGTTGGCTGGAAGCCACATGCCAATCCCACTTGGGTCTCTGGTTCAGTAGGCCTGAAAAGACACCAGGCAACTAAGTGCCTGGGATCTTGCCAGCCTGTAGGACTTGTCATGCCTGGACCCCCAGGCATGACAAGTCCTGTAGAGGGATCCTCCCCCAACTCTCTCTCATGCACATGTTCTATAGATACTTTAGACACTGCCTTCCAGACCTCTCATTAAGTGCTCTGGACCCCAAGCTATGGGCCAGGATAACATACCTGTTCCAAGTCACCATACATTCCTCCTTGAAATCCTAAGTAATTGTTGATCCTGCATTATACTCAGTATGAAAAATGCTGGCTTTTATTACTGCAAAAGGGAGTAATTTCATTCACAGGAAGTTTTTGCAATCCAGTGACCCCAAACTACCATCACCCAGAACCTGTGTTTGAGAGAGGAAAGGATCGAGATGATCTGACAAGGCAGCTTGTCAGAATTGCCCCACCCAGACATAGTGATTGGGATGTCAGTATAAAGCACAACTCTGAATGACCCTTAGAAATACTCAGAGCAGAGAAAAGGTACATAGTCCCTCCAATCTGGCCTGGTCTGGGCCCAGCTCCCTGCAGGCCACCTCCCCCCATCTCCCTAGGACTGGACTGACTGTCTTAACTTCACATGAGGATGACAAATAATCCCTACACACCCTGGCTCTCTGATAAGTACTGAACAGAAAAAGGTCAGGTATCACACACTTGTGTTTTTCTCACAAACAGCCTGAGGCCTTTCTATCCAACCAACTAAGTACTCTAAATCCTATAGCTTTCAGGGTGTCTACTGGATAGTAAAGGGCTCGGCCAACTCCCAGCAGTGCCCACAGGCCTCCTCTAGACCAAGTGCAGGCTGATCAGGAACTCTGACAAGTGAAACAGCTTGACTGTTGGGGAGGGAGTGGCCAGCAGGGAGCAAATTGAGAGGGACTGTGACCTCTTCCTCAAACACATCAAGAGTTAGCAGGACACACAGCCAGGGACCCCTTACCCACCACATGTGACCATTTTTCTATAGCCACAGTGTTTACCACCCACTAATCACTGCAGGAATGTGATCGAAGGGAAGCTGAAGGGCAGTAGAGGCCTTGATAGGCGAATGGGTGGGCAGATCCAGTGACCTCCATGGAGAGCAGAGACGAGGAAGATTGGGAGGGAGGAAGGCCAAGGCACCCATTCAGGACTATACCACAAACTGCCAAGAGACTCCCAGGCAGGTCTGGGGCCCAGGGGCAGGGCCTGCAAGCAGGAGGTGCAGGAGCTGTTGGTGTCCCCACCCACTGGGGCACAGCAACACCTGCACTTCATTCAAATATATTTCCAGACTTTTTACTGAGGAAAAAAATAAAAGGTACCCAAACTGACTAAAGTTAAGAAGCTGTGACTTTCTGCTTCCCAAAGGCACAGGGTGGGACCAGCAGTTAGCGTAATGGCTATGTCACTGGACTCCCGTGTAGTCAACCACGGTTCGAATCCCGAACCCAGTGGCTTAAAACTCAAGCCGGGCGCATGTGCGTGTGTGCCCAAGCTCCTGAGAAGAGAA